CTGCCCCATAGATCCCTGCCCCATAGATCCCTGCCCCATAGAGCTCTGCCCCATAGAACCCTGCCCCATAGCACCCTGCCCCACACATCCTTGCCCCATAGAGCCCTGTCCCATAGATCCCTGTCCCATAGAACACCCTGCCCCACAAATCCCCCCATGCCCCACATCAAACCCCCCAGCCCCACACGTCCCCCTGAGCCCCACAAGTGCCCCCCAGCCCCACAAGTGCCCCCCCCTCACCGGCCGTGAACCTGCGCTCCCGTTTGCTGTAGAAGTGTTGGTAGGACGAGATCACGATGGGGACCACGGGCACCTGTGGGGCAGGACGGGCTCAGGGAGGCTCCTGCTGCCCCACGGCTGCCCCACGGCTGCCCCGTGGCTGCCCCACGGCTGCCCCACGGCTGCCCCACATACCTGGGCCTGCACGGCCAGGTGGAAGGCGCCGCGCTTGAAGGGCAGCATGGAGCCGCTGTGGTTCCGTGTGCCCTCGGGGAACACCCACACCCGCACCTGTGGGGCAGAGAGAGATGTGGGGCTGCCCCATAGCATCAACACCCACACCTGTGGGGCAGAGAGAGATGTGGAGCTGCCCCATAGCACCCCTGGGGCTGCCCCATAGCTTCAACACCCACACCTGTGGGGCACACAGAGATGTGGGGCTGCCCCATAGCATCAACACCCGCATCTGTGGGGCAGAGAGAGATGTGGGGCTGCCCCATAGCATCAACACCCACACCTGTGGGGCACAGAGAGATGTGGGGCTGCCCCATAGCGCCCCTGGGGCTGCCCCATAGAACACCCGGGGCTGCCCCACAGCGGTGGCAGCGAGGGTGGAGCGCTGCCTGACACGTGGCGGACCTACAGCGCCCCAAAACCACCCCATAGAACCCCATAACCACCCCATAACTGCCCCATAGCGCCCTATAACCCAGCCCCACTCACGTCCTGGCTGAGCATGGCGTGGGCCATGACGATGCCAGCCCCATAGCGCCCCATAACCA